TATATTCATTATGAAGCTGAATTAAAGCAGTAGGCTAACTCGCTAATGGTGAACATGTGAGTTTGTTAATAAGCCTGCAGGCACAACAGTGTTTAATGACTTTTGCGAGGGAAAGCAAAACTATTGCGTGGGAACGCAAAAGAAAAATAATCTCCCGTGTCCCCTCGTGGGCTCCGTACTTATGTGAGTCCAGACAGGTGAGACAATACTTTTGGCAATATAGTGTATCACTCCAGTGCGCTACCACAGTGCACAGGACGGCCATCCTGCTTGCAGATTTACTTTTAAACATTTTGTAAAGTTTTGTAGCACCAAGTTGAGATATTAAATCTTTACATCATACAACCAACTGCTGTTTATTTTGTTCAAACGTTTTAAAAATTCAGTTTCTCTGCTGCAGAAATCGGTTAACTGATGGTAAAAAAAAGCTTGAAATAAACGAAAGTTTATTAAATTTTAGATTTCAACATTTAAAGCAGTAAGGAGAACTGTACTCTTTTCTGGCTGCAGCCCACAATGAGGTAGGTTTCTATGTTGCTCCTCTTCAAGTAGGCGTTTCTTTCTCCTCCTGCTCCTGGTTCCACATCATAGTCCCCATTCAGATAATTCAGGGTGGCCTTGGTGATATGAATMCGTCTGAAATGAGAGCGAGATATTTCTCTGTTTTTTCTTATATTTTGGGTAATGTCTGTAGTTATCTAATGCCTCACATCTGTGCGTCAAGTCAAAATAATTGATTTGCTGATTTTGTAAAAAAAAAAGAGACAGGAATCAGACATACCCAGCTTTTCCTCCAGCTTCCATCTGATTTGCTAATGTGACGTCATTGGACCAGACGTCAAACTGCCACTTCCTGAGTCCCAGAACCCCGCAGTGCACCCTGCCGCTGTGGATCCCAACGCGCATGTTCACATTCACCCCGGTCACCTCTCGAACCAGCCTGCACCAAACAGGAAATGGCCTGAGAAATGATTGTTTCTAATATTTCACCTGCATCAGTTCAGATACATGCTGGTAATAATGGGCCTCATGCAAGAACATGTTCATAGTCTTCTCCTTAATTTCTCTTACTTTTGTTCGTACAAAAGGTTCGTACGAACATGTCACGTCAGATTCAACAAACTCTTCTATCTTCAGGAAAAGTGTGTAAATGAGCTGCGTAAATTCACCTGTTCTATCCAGCTGCTCGAGCACGTGAGAGGAGATTAGCATAATTACCACCCCAAAAACACCATATAAGGCTGTGTTTCCTGCACCACATACCAGGAAGTGTTCCTTCATAAATGACATCACAAAGTAAAAAGAAGAACTTTATGAGTTCAGAGATTGAAGTCCGTCTGTCAGAGATCCAGAAAAGAAAATCTGTCATTTTTAGCAGCTCAGCTGTGGAATTAAAGGAATGAAATGTTCTGTTAACGTTGTGTCTCCTGTGGGTCGTATTCAGACACAGAAATAAAAATATAAATCATATTCATCTCTCTCTAGTCCTGCTCTGGTTTTTCTTTGGTCAAATATTTTTTCATTTAAGTGTAAACACCTGTGTTACATAGTTTTCATTTATTCAGAAGAAGACCAGTCGTGTACTGCAACCCTCCACCCCGGCGGTCTCCCCCACCTCGCCGTCGCAAGTGGTGTCAGATGCGGTTATGAAAAAAGCATTTTAAAATGCCTCCAAGCTTCAATAATGCATAATTTAAGTTAGTTTGTAGTTTGAGATCTTCAAATTAATATTGTAGTTTTATACAACAGCATTAATGGCCAATTTAATTTAATTTAACCTATTTATATCATTAGTCTACATTATTATATTTAAAATTATAAATTCAATTCAAACAGAACAACCTATTGTTAACATAATTATGGAGTGTGATTTAATTTTAACTCAAAATATCTTCAAACTAATGAAATATAAAGTTATTAGTGAAGAAAACCCGTCTGGATAACAGCAGACTGACTGCAGGTAAAATATACAAGCCCATTCTCATGCCCCCCACGTTGACGCACGGGGTCCATTCTGTACGAGATGGGTCGGAGGAGGACGATGTGTTTTTACAAGGCTAGAATTACRYGAAACTAACCATCCTAGACCCAAAATTTAACTTCTACTAGCCTTATCGAGCCTAACCCTGACCACAGACTCTAAAGTTAACCTTTAATCCTGATTCCAAATGTTAACCTCAAACGTTACGCAAACCTGGAAAAGCCGCGGGCGGCAAGGACGGACATCAATATGTACCAAGTCCAACATGAGAATGTGTTATATACAACAGGTCTGGACCACTCGTGAATTTTGTTTGTGTCTGACAAAAATCTTAGAATACAAAAAACATTGGTGAATGCCAGAAATTCTCCTAAATCACTCGTACGCACAACTTAAGAACAAATCTGTGCGTACCAACGGTTCTTGCATGAGGCCCAATCAGTCCAAAATATCAGGAATCAATCTGTGCTTTCAGTACTGGAGTTTTGTTGAAATTTTCTGTGAATGGGATACAATTTCAGCTATTAATATCTGGCAACAACCTCTTTCATTTTTGAAGCACACCACGAAAAACAAAACATATTCAAATTAAAAAAAAGTTTCAGAATGTCTGTATTTTTTATTTCCAGGGTGCTACTGAAGATTCACGAGTTTACAAATATTTTAATCCCTTGTTTTTACAACCCTCGACAAAATTTAACCGCTGACACAAAAATGTGTCTTTTTATATGTGGTGGATTAGGTGAGTGATGACCAATGATTTAAAGATTAAAACACATGGTAATAACAGGCTGTGGCTTGTTAATCTGACTGGATTAACAGTCATCTTTAATACCGGCAGTGAAAAGCATCTTCTGACTCTACAGTGGAACACAAGAACTGATGATTGATCCCAATAAATGCTCAGATTGTTTTAAAATGTTGATCTTTCTGGTGGATAAATGACTAAACCAGTAATTCAGCTGAATAAATCAAACTATTGATGTTTTTGAAGTAATAATTCAGCATTTTGAGAATTGTAGCTTCATCATCGTAGAGTCAGAACTGCAGTCCTTTAAAAGAGAAAACAGAGAGAGAGGGAAGACGGAAGAAGAAAGAGAGAGAAGAAAAAAGAAAAAGGAAAAAAAGAAGAAAAAGAAAAAAGAAAAAGAAAAAAAGAAGAAAAAG